AGGCCTTTAAATTATTATTAGCAACATTTTCACTTGCCAAACATCCCCGCAATAGGAATGAGTAGAGGGGCCACCTTTGATTTTACTGGAAAGGCTTGTCTCTTTTCCCACGACCCAGATGTCCTGGGGGTTTCTGCCACACCAAACTCTTAAGTTCTTGCAGCCTTCTCCTCTTTGCAGACCCTTCTTACAATGCCCATCAAGTTCAGCAATTTCTAACAAAGTGCTTATTTTAGATTGGCATTGTTTACTTATAGTTCTCATAAGTCTGGTGGTCCTTGTGCTTCACATTTTATCACTCCGAAGTCAAAAGTAACTTTTTGCTGTGGGATGCACAATTGAGGCAAACTGGCCTATCTTCAAATAACTCCAAAGAAAATCACTTATCCTCCTAGTGAAGATGGTAGATACTTTAATACAGAGAAAGGAAAAATTGTGGAGGCCACTAGAAGGCTCAGTGGATAGAGCTCTGGGCCTGGAGTCAGGAAGACCCAAGTTCAGACACTCAGCCTCAGACACTTATTTGCTGTGTGACCCTAGACAAGTCACTTAACCTCTGTTTGCCTTAATCCACTGGAGAAGGAAATGGCAAACCACTCCAGTATCTTTGCCAAGAAAATCTCATGGACTGTATGGTCCACTGGTTCATGTAGAGTCAGGCACAACTGAGAAACAACAAAAACAACAACATGGACCAAGCACTGTACTAAGCTCTGGGGACACAAAGAAAGGTGAAAGATAGTCCCTGCCCTCAAGAAACTTACAGTCTAATGGGAGACTACATGCAAGCAACTCCAAAAAGACAGATTGGAGGTAATCAACAGAGAAGGCACTGGTGTGAAGTGAGATTGGCAGAAATTTCTTGGAGAAGGTGGGGTTTTAACCGAGACATGAAGGAAACCAGGGAGGGTAGGAAGTGGAGATGAAGGAATAGAGAGTTGCAGGCATGGAGGATAGCAAGTGAAAGTGTCTACAGCTGGGAGATGGAGTGTCTAGTTAGAGGAACAGCAAGATCACCTTAACCAGGGAGACTAGAAATCACTAAATGTTGGTGTTTTACACCAGAGATGCCAAACACAAAGCCCTCAAGCCTCATTCTCCCATAACACTCCAAGTATGGATGAACCAAATTAAAATATAGTTTGAAAGTATTTAACAAAATAAATAAAAATACAATAGAACATAGATAACATTACATTTAAAAACTAAGTTAATATGTAGCCCACAGGGATCCTTATATACTGTTTAATGACCCCCATTTCTGTTTGAGAGTGACACCATTGTTTTATACCATTCAGAAAGAAAGGCAGTGTTATAATTAGGGACTCTGAGAGTTATCTGTGCTTTCTGAGGGACTTATGGCATCTTTTCCCCCTCCGAGAAAAAAGAGTTTTTTCCTACCTAATACTTAATTCAGATAGAATTATGTCATGGTTATTTGGACATCTTAGCTCCTCAACAAATATACATAGTAGAGACTATTAGCACAGTGCCTGGCACACAGTAAGAGCTTAATTAATGCTTATTGACTGACTTATTATTTAGTAAATATTTGTTGAATGTTGAACTCAAATGGATCTGTTATAAAATTGATTCAGGAGTCCTCTCTTGAGGGTTGCAGATTACAGCCCATCCATGGCTGCCCATCCTTGTGTGATTCTTATCCACATCCTCCTGAGTCCACTCAGCATTCTAGAGGCCTTTCTCTATTTCTTTCAACTTCTGATATTGCGTTGGAGCACATCTACCTGTCATCTCTTACTCCAGCTACATGACCAGACCAGCCTATCTCCTATTTTTGTCATATAATTCTGTGATAACATACTTAGAAGTAATATAATCTGATAGAATTTACATTGCCACAAAAGTTAAGGCTTTCAAACCTGAAATCTTAGCTTCTTCTTGATGCTTTTTTTTAGTTTCTTTTGTCCCCCTTTCTTTTTTTTTAAATAAGTATTTATTGATGTCTTTTTTTTTTTACATCACCATAGTCCCCCAGGATCCCTCATCCTATCCCTCCCAGACAGCTATCTCATATTTAACAAGTAATATATATTTTTTTAAAGATGAAAAGAAAGAAGAAGAAAATCAGCATACGTTATATTGTGTTGTGGTGAATAAGATAGTGCTGGTTTTTTTCTAGAATATTTATTTCAATCACTTTGTTCAGGTATGTTCTAAAAAGTATGTCAGAAAGAAGGAAGGAAGAAAGAGAAGGAGGGAGGAAAGGAGTATTTACTAAATACTTCCTTCATTGGAAACAGTATGATGACCACTGATGGTGGGGGTTTGGAGGGATAGAGGGGGAGATTCATAACTTGCTTTCTGGTTTAGGTGGCATGGTAGTTTGTGAGATAGCTGAGGAGCGAAGATGATGCCACAATTTTTTAATGAGTCAATTCAATGGGAAAATGAACAAAACTGGATATCTGGATTTATGGAAAGCAAAACTACTTGATCAACTGAACTTTCACCAGTGTCTGAAAATCTTATAGTAATAAATTTCTTACTAATGTCCTGAAGTCTCTTGTTTCTTGCATCTAAGTATGATCTCTGAGATCCCTTCTGACTCTGCATATTAATGATCCAGTTTTCTTTTCATTGAAGGATAGTCCATACTCTACCCCCATGAGCACCTTTGCACATAATGTCTTCTATGGTTACATTAATTTTTCACTCACTCTTAAAAGACCTTACAGGAAGACCTGAGTTCAAATCTGGCCTCAGACACTTGACACTTACTAGCTGTGTGACCCTGAGCAAGTTACTTCACCCCATTGCCTCACAAAAAAAAAAAAAAAAGAAAAGAAGAGAAAAGAAAAATCTCTCCTCCTCTACACAGGACGAACAATAAGCCTATAGAACCATAAATCTAGAGCTCTTAAAAAAAAAAGGAAGAAAAAAAAGACCTTAGAGATTCTAGACTTGAGTCTAATCCCCTAATTGTACAAATGAGGAAACTAAGACCCACAGACATTTATTTAGTGACCTGCCCAAAGTTACACAAGGATAAGTACCAGGGTTGGGATTTGAACCCAAGGGTTGGGTTTGTTATTTATTACAAACCTAGCATTCTTTAAATTATGGTACCAAGCATACTTTTTAGGATTTGGATTTTCTTTTCAGTTTTGATAGTTTTAAGGAAAGGGAAATTATTAATCTCTACACTTTTAGAATAAAATCCTTCCATTGCCTAGCCATCCTTTCCTCATAATAGGAATTGGTTCTTAAATGCCTTGCCTAGTATATTTAAAGTGATTGAAAAAATGAAGCATCTATCATTTCTTTTCTGTGATTTTTAACTATTAGGCCTTATTACTACAAAATCACATTGGACCCTTATTTTGAAATGCTTTCTCTGTACCTTCTATGTACCATTTTAATTTCTTCCCTTTTTGTCTTTAGTTTTTCTTTTGTCTCATTTTCCAAGGAAATAGAGAAAATACACCCCCTTTTTTTAGGTTTTGCCAAATGAACAATGAAAAAAAGTTTCATTGGTAAAAGGAACACTTCTGACTTTTCAGAATTGCAAATGGCTTTGGGGGCTGAGGAAATGTACTGCTGAGATTATTAAAATAAAAATTGTAGATATTAAAGGAAAAAGTAGAAGAATTTTTTTTAGATTTATTTAACTCTGGTACCATTTGGTTAGTTGACTTTGTTTGCTTAGTAAACATGTGTAACATCTAGATCTCAGCATCACAGCACTTTAACCATTTATTATGGCCAAGTGTTTCTAACTGAAGACTGCAGCTGCTTCTAATAAACGGAGATGTGTTATCAATTACAGCTTAATCTGCCCAATCTTAAAACTGGCACCTTTCTGTTTGCTCAACAAGCAAAAGCTAGATGGCTCTAATATGGCAGCAATACAGAAGCTGCTCTGTTATGTCAGTATCTCCATTTGGAATTTTTAAACATAACTGAATATGGTGTGTTCTTGGTACTTAATGATGTTTGTAGTGATTCCTACAGAATGTAAATGGAAACATTTTATTTCACTCTTTGATTTCTATATAGTATGTGATATAAATATATCTAATATGTTTCTCTGTTGTGTATGGTCTATTTGACAATCTAGATGATCTATCTCTATTTACAAGTGTATTGCTGAAAATTTCATATTAAATATAACTGGTTTTGTAATGGTTTAGACTCAAGGGGAGGGGCACATGTGGCTTTCTAGGTCCTCAGGTGTGGCCCAAGTTTTACAGAAGGGCATTTGTGTTGTGAAGTTTGGATTGAGTCAAAGAGCCACACTTGAGGACCTAGAGGGCCACATGTGGCCTAGAGGCCACAGATTCCCCATCCCTGATTTAAACTTTTGGAGGTACAGGAGAGAAAAGTTAGAATTAACACGACAAATTTCCAGAAATCATCTCTTTAGTTCTGATGCCAGGTAATCTGTATAACTCTTGTTCATTTGACCTCTGTATTCATCACATCTGTGATTGGAGATTCATTCTGAAGGTCCCTGAAAGATAGTATGTCAAACTACCTACTACCGTCTTGTTTTGGTGACAAGATGTGAGTTCAAGTCCTGCCAGTGGCACATGATTACACAGTCACAGGCAACTGACTTAATCTCTCAGGGACCCAGCCAGATCTGCATTCATGGAGTGAATTTCCCATATTAGTTGCCTCACATACCAGTCCAGATTCCCAACACCTCTTCCCCACCTTCAACAAAAAAGGTGAGGAAAGCATTATGGAGACTCCAAATGTTATTAAATATCCCTATTTAGGCATTAAGAGAAATAAATATTCTTCAGAAGTAAATAGTTCTGCAAAAAACTGTGATCATGTTCAGTGAAATACTTGTGAGTAGAGCATGTTTTTGATCTTGAAAAATACTCATTTATTTTCTAGCTCTTGCAAGCTATAAAGCACTAAGTGAGTCCAGAATGAGAGATTTATTTCCTTTCATTATATTTCTGGAAGAGGCACGCTATAACTTGCTAGTTCTGAGAAGAATGGTAAATGGACTTGTTTTCAAATAGGTGGAATACCTAGTTTGAGAACATTGTGGCTGAGCCAAGATGCAGAGGTACAAGCCCAGCGTTATAGCACCTTCCTGGCCTGCTTTCACCTTTGGAATGAAAGAGAAGAACTTCAGGCTCTTGAAAACTCTCTTGCAGCCCTGTGCTGTCTCTTGATCTACCTCCTTTGGCAGGTAACACCTAAGATTGCTTTGAGAACCAATGTTAAGAGCTACTTTTGGCCCTCATTCTTATGGAATATTATGTTGTGGGATGTTGTGTTTTTTACTGACTAGTTGATTTCCTCCTACATTTTTAGCATTAGCATATGTCCATATGCCAGACTCTAGGGAAATCATCCAGGTTGTAGTTTTAATAAAATTTCCACTCACGCTCTTTAGGCATCTTAACAAAGAAAATATTAAAGCATATGCCTGCTTCTCTCTTGTTCAGCATCTCAGCGGTTTTTGTGGGTTTTTTTTAGAGCAGGTTTTTATGTCTCTCACTTGTCATAACAACAACAACAACAAAAAAAAAAAACAACCAAACATCTGCTCTTGTGGCTTATTGAGACATTTTCATCAGCTCCCATGACCCCTTCAAGCCACCTTGTCAACTCCCCTGATCCTTGACCATGACAGTATTACTGTGTTATAGCCATTAAATTCTCATTTGATTGTAATAGAAAGTCATATAATTCTGTTTTTTATATAAACTTGCCAATACCCTGAATTCACTTTACAGATTACCAGTTTTCTTTAGAGGATGTTATTAGATCCAGTAACTAGATTGTACTGCCTTTTCCTTCCTAATTGTCCATTGCCCCTACATATCTTAGAAATAATCACTTAATTCAATATTTAAATGTTTGCAAAAGTGGGGGGTGGGGGAAAGGTAGGGATTAAATGATTTAGATTTTTGGTTGCTGTATTATTCATAATATTATGGTTCATGTTGTTATAATGATGGCTGTTTTGGTTAATTCAAAAAGTGAGATCAGATAAAAATAATTAGTCTTTTAATAGTTTCTCCTAATCTCAGCAATATATAATTTGACTTCAGAGCGCACTTAAAATATCTAATATAATTTTTTAAAATCCGTTTACCTGCTATTAGTTATAAGATGGTTAGTACTTACCCCTGTGGGGGAAAAAATGCACCTTCTTGACCTAAATCAATATAATGATTTATTAAGTATGATTATGATCTTTTCAGAATTGTGTGGATTTTTCAAAAGCACACTTCTTATTTGCTACCACCCTGAAATCACTTTACAGATTACCAGTTTTATTTAGAGGAAGTTATTCAAATTGGGCATTAGATCCAGTAGCTAAGTTATACTGGCAGTGAGTGCAATTACCTCATGTTTCTGAATGTATAGCTATATCAACTTAACATTGCAGTTTTGTCTACAATATGTATTAACATAAGCACTCTGCATAAGCATATCAATCTGTACATAAAATGCATATTAGGTACATGTCAGTATTACATGTTTATATTTTAGTAATTTATATTTTCCATCCAACCTTACAGTTTGCTAAAGTAAAGTCGCTTTGGGTGAGTTTTCATGGGAATTTGGAAGAGGGTAAAAAAAAAAGAATAAGTAGTCTCTTCTGACTCATGAAAAATGCATATGTGTACTGTTCATATGCCAAGATAATGCTGCTTATCCATCAGCAGCAGGAGTAACAGAACAACACTTGGAGCTGTCATTCCAGAAGTAGGGATAGACTGTGTGGAGTGGTTCAGACTCTTTAATTTGGTTGTTTTCCTTATGACTAAATGGTCAGGCATTTGTAAGACAGCTGGATATAGTTAGTAGTATAATATGTGGCCATGCCACATAATTTCACTCTGTGAAATTAACCAGCCTAGATATTTGATTTCAATTCATTAGCATCATGCTCTAACCCCTTAAACTAAAAATGGCCAGGAGAAGATCTTTTTTAAATGGAATTTTAGGATTTTTATCATTATATAGTATAATTAAAATTAGTTTTATTATGGAAACCCAAGATACTAGTATAACAATTTCTCAACTGTAACTTGTACATGCCTGAAGCAAGACAGGGAACTAAAAAAAAAATTCTATATCTTTTGCCGTTGTTTCCACTTAAAATTTACTTTTAAACAAAATCACTTTAGTGTGAGTTGTAATACAAGAGGTTCAGTGGTGGATTAGCTTTCTTACAAGTTTGTTTTTAGAAATACTTTATAATAAAAATAAGAAGCATACTTTTTTTTTAAACCACAGAATTTTGTGAAGATCATAATTATACTTACTAAATCAATGTATTGATTTAGGTCAGGAAGGTGCATTTTTTTCCGTGAGGGTGAAGTACTAACCATCTTATAATTAATAAAAGATAAATTGATTTTAAAAAATTGTTAGTTCAAAGATTAAGTGGATGCTAAAATCAAATTATATATTGCTGAGATTAGGAGAAAGTATTAAAAAAAACTAGTTATTTTTATCAACTTTTTAAGTTGACTGAAACAGCAGTCATTACAGTAATATGGGGAGGGGAGCCAAGGTGAGACCCTAGTTCATCACTACAGGGAACTTTCAGTGTGGAAGGTCCCTCTACCAAGTCAAATCTTCAACTCACGAGTAACTTTTATTCTTAATGAATTGCCTGCTGGCACTGTAAGATTAAGTATCTTGCTCATGGTCATACATATTAAGAGAATTTCTTTTAAAAATCTCAACAAAAAAACTTATGAAAAATGATGTTTATACCTCAACAACATGTATGTATTTCACATTGTTTCTCAATGAGTGTGGCACAGCATACATCTTTTAATGATATCAACCAGTGTCTACCTATGTGGAAATTTGGTTATTATTTGAATAATGATGATAATAATAATAGCTAACATATATAGATGGCTTACTCTGTGCCAGGAACTCTGCTAAGTGCTTTAAAATTATCTCATTTCATAGTAAAATCTTTGAGACTCCATTCTGTGTTTAAACTTTATGTAACTACGAGAGTATCGGTAAAATATGGCATTTCTTGATTGATGAGAAGAAAATATATGTGAAATTCCTTTTTGCCCGTGTTGATATTTTAAATCAGCATTCTGTGAAATTGGCTGATAACAAACAAAAAAGAGAATTAAAAGCTAACTCAAGTTTAGCCTAAATTCAGAGCAATGAGGGCTTATTTGATTTGGGAAAGGATTTTCTGGTTGATTTTTTTTTTTTCTTGGCCACAAATGCTATGTATGCATTTGCAGATTTTTCCATTTCTCCCTGAAATAATTATGGTTGCTGTCATTTTCACAAATGTGACACCTGCCTTGGAATAAAAATAGGAGAGTGTAGAGATGGGGTCGGAAAGAATATTATCAGATCTTAGCAGCCAATCAATATCTTCCACTTGGGTGGAGATAATGAACGCTAAAAGTACTTTGCAGTGTTACACTGTTCCTGATATCCATTACCCTACCTTCTTTTATGCAAGGTTTAGCAGACCTTCCCAAGGGAAGAGGTTTTTCATAGTGGGGGTCAGCAGGAGTCCCTAACGAAAAGTCTCCCTGATTTATAGTGGGGTTATTTTTATCTGGGAATGAACATATTAAACATTTTTAGCCTTCAAATTGCTATAGATGGGTGCTTTCTATGAGTTTTCTTCCCATCTTCTCTTATGTTTTACCTTGCCACTGAATACCTCTCAATTAAAAACAAACAAAATCAACATGTCTATGATGAGAGGGAATTTTTTTGCAAGAGGGTGCTCTGGTGGCTTCCCCTGGGAGGAATTGAAGGGGCTCCCCGCTTGACAAGTTGGCAGGGCTTCATGGTCAGTCTGGGTGAATAGTTCCAAGAACTCTGTGAGGCAAGTGAAAACTTAGAAGTTTTCTTAACCAAAATAATTTCTCCTTCTTAAAATTATTTTGTGTTAATTTGCATTTATTTTCTGTTTCCAAAATTACGTACATGTTTTGTGTCCCTCCAGTAGAATATTAGCTCTTTGAGGTCGAGGATGGCCCTTTGCATTGGAAATGACAGAACTAAATAACTAGCAGGAAGTTGATACCCAAAATAAGTCAGGAGAGTGTAAGAGAGCACCTAACTGTCCTTGATGAATCAAGTCACCTGGCCCAGCTGGGTCGCCTCCTCAGGAGCTGAAACAGCCAGCAGGTGTGATTACTGAGCCACTGTCAGAAATATTTGAAAGATCATGGGGCCACAAGATTGGACAAAGGCCAGTCTTGTCCCAGTTCGTTTGTCAGGTATGATATAGTAGCTGGCCCAGAGATCTCTTCCAAACCTCCAGGTCTGGCATTCTATTAATACCTGTTGAATTTGTCTCTCTAGACCCTAGCACAGTGCCTTACCTGCTTCACAGATGTTTGTTGAATTGTACTGAGTGATAGAGCCCACAGCATCTGTCTCTTTTTTTTTTTTTTTACCCCTTCCTCATTCATCTCCTCAAGAAAACTTCCCACTCAATATTAAGACAGAGTTAACAGTGAAAAGAAAGGCTACTGCCAACCAGTGATTGCTGAAAGTAGTTGCTACATCAAGGGCCCTTCAGAATCTAAAACTTCATGTCTATCAGTATTGCATTAACTTGGGGGATCATATATTTGGAATTGGAAGCGACATTAGATGCCATCAAGCCCAACTGCCTCATTTTATAGACAAGGAAACTGAAATGCAAAGAGATAAATTACATGCCCTACGAAGATAACATTTGGTCCTCACAACATCCCTGGGAGATGATTGCTACTATTATTCCCATTTTACAGGTGAGAAAAATGAGGCAAGCAGAAGTTAAGGGACTTGCCCAAGATCACACAACTAGTAAGTGTCTGACACACTGATTTGAACTTGGTTCTTCCTGATTCCAAGTCCAAGCGCTCTGTCCACTGAACCACCTTGCTGCATTTCTTCTTAATATAGAAACAAAATAACAGTTGGGTGTCAAAAGAAAGAGAATTGAAATAAATTCTGTTTTGCTCACCATTCTGGGATGATGATTTGCTTCCAAACTAACATCCACAGGGCATATAGGTCAGATTCTAGATGAAACAGGGAGAAGAAAGAGTGTATGCTGATTCATTCTAGAAGGTCTAGCCCAACTGTGAATTAACTGAATTCTGGAGCACCCCTGGAACACTGATTTGTTTTTAAGATCATCCCTGAGGCTTCAGGTTGGACCAGAGCAGAGTTGGTCCAAGAATTTAATTGGGACATTCAAGGTCATCCTAGGTTCACCCCAGAATTGCCAGCATTATTGATGAAGAAGCCAAAAGGAAAAAGGGGAACAGCCTGAAAGCTTTTTGAATTGGGTGGGTAACAGGAGAGAATGTATATAACATAGAGCCTGAGATTTGGAGCTGGGAAAGTTTATTCACCTTTATCCATGTTCCTTGTTGCTGGCATCCATTTTATTAGTCCTAAAGGTCTGAATGTAGAGTATGTATGTGATCGTATATGGGAATTAAAGCCTGTTTGCAAGAAGATGTGATATGTTTTTCCCCATAGCTTGGAGCTAGGATTTTATTGTCTCTCTTCTTTTCAGGTGGATGCTTTCTCCCTGGAGGACTTAAATGCTTTTATTGCTCAGACTTTGTGCCTCCGAGGAAAATCAGCTGCTCAACTCTCAGGCTTACAGGTACAGACACAGATTGATTATCATGGCTCTAATAATAACCCTGGAATGGCCAAAAGCTCTGGCTTTTTTTCTACCTTTGCCCCCTTTATTACAGCTGTTATTTCAAGGGGAAGTTTTAGAGGGACCTTTTTATAGATTTCATGTGCTAAAGTCATTTGATTTTTATTTGTTAATAGATCATGGTGTAAAAGCTAAACCCATTGTCCTGTCATCAGTGAATTTGTGCAAATACTATTCTGTTTAACATCAGAATGAAACTATTTCATATTCTTTGAGCCTACAATATTGGGTAATATTGGGAAAAGTGACTCGTCTATTACCTCATATTCATTCAATTAGGTATTTCTTGAGTACTTACTTCACTGTGTTTCCTAAGCTAAGACTGTTTTTGAATAGGTTTCTAAGTAGATTCTGTTTTAAGTCCTCTGTCCTGACCAATGGTATTGTTTCAGTCCTTAGCAAATAGTTTAAAGTATGAAGCTCTGGATTAATTCCATAGAAAAACACAATCCTTATTGTATATAGCACTTATTTTGACACTGAATGATGTAATGTCTTGAATTGTTACCTGTCTCATCTTTTCATGTCTTGTACGTCAGTTAGACTTGTTAGGTCCTGGAAGAAAAAGATTTTATTATATTTCTTTTGAATTGCTGTTCAATGTTATATATTTTGAGCACTTGATAAATACTTCTTTAATAAAAAAATGAGCGTATTTCATCTAGGAGGATCCTAACGATCAGAATCTTTCAGCTGGGTTCCTATTTTTTTTAATCCATATCTTACTCTGGTTATAACCTGAAAATTGCTGCTCCTGACTATACACGTCCTCTCATTTTTACTACCCCACTGATGCCATCTCAGTCTTTGGCTATGTGGATCTTCTCTGGTGCTCTGTCTTCTTCCACAGCTAAATTCTTCTTGGTCTGATCCTTTGTCTCAAAATCTACCTACAAAACCAGACTATTTCTTTTCTGTCTCTATTTCTGGCTTTTATGGTAGTAAACATCAAAGCCCATCATGGAGGAATCAGAAGCCTTGCTTTGTAAATACTACTCAGCCAGTATAATAAGCTTGTGTGTGTATGTACTTGTGTATATGTAAGTATAATATATACTTGTATATATAAGCATGATAACCTCTTCAATCCAGTTCATTTCTAAATAGCTTTCTAATAATAATTATAATAAATTATAATTATAAAGCACATTTTTATACCACAGATTCCTCTAAAGTCCTGCTCCATTTCCTTATCATGGCATGGAGATGACCCTAAGTTCTTGAAATCTAAGCTAGTGGAATGCAAGCTCTGGCTGGTCCTCCCAACCTGGAAAGGCCTCAAGTATAAGTCTAATCATAGACTATATATCTGTTGTCTGAGGATCAGCCTAGCTCAGTTTGAAGAATCTCAATACCAAGTTTGCCATAAGATGATGAATAGTTTGGTAGCAACTGACCTGTTAAAGATGACTGTGATTAGCATTAGAGGAAGGAGTATCTATAGAGATGGCATTATCCTTGAAGTATTGAAATAAAGGTATTTCTATATCCATATTCAGGTCCCTTACATCTTATTAATAAATTCATTCTTCCAGCAATGCAGTGAAATGTGGAACCCATTTATCTTCTCTTTTTCATACTCTAATTTGCAGCTTTGTCTTAAATCTTTTACAAAGCATTGTCCAAACCATCTTTTGTTAGGATGGTAGTTGGATGATGACCTGTCCAACACTGACTCTCCCCTACCCACCCAGAGAGTTTCATCCCTAGAATTCTTATACTCAGTGATGTAGTGGGGATATGTGACAAAGAGAATAGGCATTTCTATATCATTCATAGAGGAGTCAAACTCCTCCCCATTGGAGCAAAAGAATTCAGGTAGAAGATAGAATGTCATCTATAGGTAACATCAAGGATACGTAGAGGGTAGAAAAGAGAGTAATGTGTCATCAACCTGGAAAGATAGAATGATACCAGACTGTGAGGAGTTTTACATGTCAAGTAATAGAGTTTGTATTTTATCCCAGAGGCAACAGAAAGCCATTGAAGTTCCATGAGCAGAGAAGTAAAAGATTCAGAATGGTGCTTTGTGAATGTTAATTTGTCAGACATGCAGAATGGAATGGAGAAAGGACAGGTTGGCTGTAGGGAGATCAATTAAGGGGTTGTTGCGGTAGTCTAGGCAAGGAGTGATGAGATCCTGAACTAGGGTAGTGGCTGTATAAGTAGAGAGACAGAGATTCAAATAACATTTGGCAACTGATTGGATATGAGGGCAAATGAGAATGAAGAGTCAAGGGTGATTTCTAGATTATAAACCTGAGTAATTAGAGGAATAGTGGTGCTCTTGACCGAAACAGGGAAGTTTGGAGCAGGAATCAGTTTTAGGGAAAAGATAATGAGTTCTACTTCGTACATGTCAAGTTTGAGCTGCCTATGGGACATGTAGGTAGAGACACATATACAGTTGGCAATTGGCAATGGAGAACAGGAACTTAGGAGAGAGATGAGGGCTGGACATGTAGGTTTGCAGTCATCTGCATAGAGACTGAGTCCATGGTAACCAATAAGAACACCTAGAGAAAAAAGAGAAGTGGTCCCAGGACAGGACCTTAATGGGCCAACAGTGGGTCTATCCTCAAAGTCTTTAACAAGCTTCAGAATACTCCCAAGAGCTTTCAGTGTGTTAATATAGTCTTCAAGAATCATAGATCACCTTCATGCCATGATAAGGCCTTGGAAATGAAAAAATAAAAATACCATGGGGGAAAATATTTTCTAAAGAAGCTTCCATATTGCCAAAGACAGAACCACTCCCACTAGACTTAGACCTAACCTTGAGGGACTTTTTACATTAACAAATGCAGCAGGATTTTGCCCTTCTTAGAATCTTAGGCTTAGGGTTGGAAAGGACCTTAGAGGTAATCCAGTCCAACCCACTTGTTTTACAAATGAGGAAACAGCCTCAGAGAGATTAAACAGATGGTAAATTTACACTGAAGGCCCTCTGACTTCAAATCGGCAGTCTTTCCACAGAATAATGCTGGCTGTTATGTACCATAACTGAAATATATGAATCATCCAAATTCTTATGCTGACAACACCAGTGTTCATTTAATGCCAGTTATGAAGTGTTTCTTATAATCCTTTGTTTCCTACAAAACTCTTAAGTACCACCTTCTTTATGAAGCTTTTCCTGATCCTTCCCTCCCAAAAGAAATTGCTAATACCCACTCTACAAAAAATTACCTTATATTTATTTTGTATATATTTACATGCATACTATCTTAGTCAATTAGTCATCATCACGCATTTTTTGCTAAGCACTTATGTATCAGGGACTGTGCTAGGCTCTGGGAGGTGCAAAGAAAGGCAAAAAAAGGCAATAGTCCCTAACCTCAGGAAGCTCCCATTCTAATGGGGGAGACAACATGCAGCAGTTATATACAAACAAGATACACACAAGATGAAATGGAGGCAATCCCAGAGGGAAGGCACTAGTATTAAGTATTCCCAATGTAATGTAAGCTCTTTGAAGTCAGGGATGATTTCATTTATATCTATATGCCCACCTCTTATTACAGTGCCCAGCACATCATAGATATTTAATAAGTACTTATTAGTTGATTGATCCAAAGGGACCTGTTTTCATAAAAGGCTCTCCAAGCTAAAGCAGAATTTATTGTTCTTGGTTATATGTTCATTAGCCCCAAATGTGCTTTTATTTAGAGGTAAATAGGAAGTGTCTGGCCTCCTTATTCATTACTATCATTTGTACAGTAAGAGTTGAGAATGGAGCAAGCAGACAGAAAAAGAATCAGATCAAGAGCAGAGCTTCATCATAAGCCCCTATTCTTTGTTCATGTTGCTTTAGGGACACATTGCATTTTGAGCCTGTTGCACTGATTTGAAAACTCCTTTTCTTGATAACAAAGTAATTAAGTCACTTGTATGAGTTGTGCTTATGGTCATCCACTGCTCCCTGGTGTGGTTGAACAGGAATCCAAAAAATGTTCTCTGGCCTTCTGTCCTGTCACTACTTTTCTTGTCCCAACAGCTCAAATACACTTGGGGGACAGGGGAGAAGGAAACCCATATATACATGTCTATACCTGTGTGTGTGTGTGTGTGTGTGTGTGTGTGTGTGTGTGTGTGTGTGT